TCAGCACGATTTCTCACCTCTGTTGAGGAGAAGCATTCATCTGAGCACAAAACTCATCCACCGAAACATCCGAGCCCATATCGTACAAACTCAAGCTGTCGAAAAACGGGCTTGCCAAATTCGGAGGCGTGTACCCTTTCGCGGGCTCTTGAGGATTCGAGTTTTTCGTTTTCACTTCCAAAGGAAGATCCAAAAGGGACCGTGCCACGGCCCGCATGTCGCGCATGACCGAAATCGGAATTCCGTGATTGACGAGCCGAAAACACCCGAACTCTTCGCACGATCTCACGATCTTCTCTGGCAGCTGGCCGGATGAATCTTCCATGTCTATTATTGGAACTGTTTTTGTGCTCCTAGCCATTTTTCTTTTCTTTTTTGATGTAATAATATTTGAATATATGTGCCAATGAATTTGCTTTTGTTCAGTTTGTTTTCCTTGTGAGGTCTTGTTGTGATATGATCATGGGAGAATGGTTTATATAATGTTTAATGGGAATTATTGTGATCAATAGTTGTCGGCCACAAAGTAAGAAAAATATCTTAGAAAAATGTACTATATTTCAATTTGGGGTAGTTGTGGAATTGCTAGCTAGCATGTGTGAATGCTAATTTTTTTTCGTAACAGGCCACGGTATTCAGAGTTATGCCCCGACTAATCTGTTGGTCGACCCGGGTCGTACACCTGCAGTGGTGGGTGAGTCTCCCAACGAATGTTTTCTGCATCTACAAAAAATCGAACTCGAGGCCTTGCTTAAGTAACATCAAGTTGCTTACCACTTGAGTCAACCTATATTGTCTACTTGACTTGTCAATTTGTGGTTACTTCATTTTTTTTATAGAGGGAATGATAAATTACAGAAAATAAAATGTACTTCAAAGAAATGCAAAAGCAAACAAATTAGTAATTTTCAACAGTCTAGCTTGGCTGCTTACCAAGAGAACTTCTTTGTTGTGTGCACACATAATTTGACCTACTTTCTGTGTGTCCCAAATGCTGCCTGAATTTCCAAGTTCCGATTAAACGACTCTTTATGACCAGGCCTGCATCAAATAAAATGACATGTCCTCCTATTATAGTATTAAAAGTTTCTTTTAAGGACTAGAACTCGAGCTCAAACACCATCTCGATCTCGGCTGGTTTACAACCCCAGAGGTCGAACCATCATAATTTGTAATGCGATGGATTATGCGCTTTGGACCATATTGGTCCTTTGGGCTTCAATTTGTACTTGAGTCATGCTTTCTATTGATCGAAGATTTTTGGTAGGTGTAATATTTTTAAATTACTCGATATTCATTCACTGATGTAATTTAATCATTTATGGAGTCATCCACAACTATTAACAAATGATACATGTCCTACAATAAATACACACTAGTACGAAACTCGTGTACTACACGGGTGCATGAAAAAAATAATTTGAACAAAAAAAAAGTAAAAGAATTTTAGAATTGTAGTATATACAAAATAAATATATAGAAGAAATCCCATTAGAATATAGTGTTAGAATCACGTCACAAATTTGTTGTTATGTGAAATTTAACAATTATAATCACAAGTAATAAACGGATAAAAGGCTGCAAATGAGTTGAGTTTTTATTATCTCTAAGTCGGGTTAGAGTACAAGAAGTCGGTTATCTGTGGAACGAGTTGTTTTATATGCGAATGTAATGTGTTCGAAAAAGATCTCTGTACATGAGTAAATGATGCTATTTATAGTAACTCAAAGCTCGATATTTGAGGTTAGTTCGGCAGCATTAAATGCCAGTTGACAATATAGGGGCAGCTAGCTCGCAGTTGGCCCAACAAGTAATGATGAAGGTATGGGCAGCTGATTGACAGGCGTCCCATCTGTTTCTTATTGTTTTGTCCCCATCTCGGTTCCTCATGGAGGTCGGTATTCGTCTCGTTGATGAAGTTAGTTCTCCTCTCGGTTTACGCCGAGTTTCACCAAGTTGGATTTTTCTTCTAATCGTGTATTCTCGGTCGGGTTTTATGACAAACCTTCTATGTCGCTTCTCCTGGTTAATTTAACCAGGTCGGTTGTCAATAAAACTAGTAGATATCCTGTGCACATGCACAGATGTACATAAAATATTAGTAAGTAATATTTGAGAATTTAATATTAAAATTCTAGATAATGAACATATTACAATTTAAAAAATTTGATCATTAGGAAAAATAAATTAACGATTTTATTATTATGAACAATTGTTTATTATCATCAGATAATAACAATTTGATTATTATTATTATTATTATTATTATTATTATTATTATTATTATTATTATTATTATTATTATTGTGAAAAAACAATTGTTTATAAGCTTCTAAAGTTGATTGACTATGCTACTAAAACAATTTACTAATTGTTTTTAAAGAAATTTTTTCATGAGATACAAAAGAAAAAGATAATATTGATGTTAATATAAATAACTTGAAACAATTGTTTATGATTATGTAATTTATATTTATTGTGAATTATTATTAGTTGGTATTAGCAAT